CAGGATTGATGATGATGGCTCAGAGCCAGCTCGTTAAAGTCAATGATGTGAGTAATATAACTGTGTTGCTTTTGAAAGAACCAAATATGTATTATCCACCTATCAGTGTACCAAAGATGCATCGTAAACATAGATCTCGGGCTGCAGCCCATTTAAATGATGAAAGGGAACAAATTAATCTACAAAATAGATTTTACCCTCGGGGGGGGAGAAATGTTCTATTTGTGAAAGTTAAAACATTCAGTACACAGAAAAGCACTTATCAGATGAGCATCCATGGTCTGTGGATACATATTACTAATGCTCCTTGTTAATATAAATAGGCTGTGGTCATCAAAGATGCTACCATAATTTGTTAGAAATGAAGTAACTAAAAAGAGCAGCATACACACAGCTTTTTGTGAAGCAGAGAGTAAATAGTTTAAGTTACTATGTCTCTGTCTTTGAAAATATTGATCAATAAAATGTTGTAATAAATATAAGTATATATGCAACACACACACACACACACACCAAAAATAAAGATATAAGGAAACCTGAATGTTCTTATATTTTAGGGAATACTAAAGCTAAGTTGATAAATCATTTCCAATAGTCATATGCTTCAGACTGACCTTTAGTTTCAGAATTGTAGGGTCCCATTACAATTTTTCACTTTGGGGAAATTACTTAAATATGTTAATCATTCCCTTTGCATTTATAGTTAGATTAAAAAATTTATTTACCTACATAACATTAAAATTTACTGGACATCTCATGAGATTCTTTTCAGTGATACACACCAATCAGGTACCTGTGAAGAAACTATCTTGTATATTAAAACATCTTCCTGTTTAAAAAAGTCAGAAGTTAGAGAATACTGTATTTTATCAAGTAGGCTCTTCTAGATATTTCTGGGACCATTTCTTAAATGTTGATACCTAATTTTCAGATTCTATGAAAAAAATTGAAATTTAAGTAATTAAAAACTAACCCTTCATATTCAGGTCCAAGATGAATACTGTAAATCTCACAGAATCATCCCTCAGGTTTTTTGGAGATTAGTTCCAGGAACCCCGACAGAAAACATCTGTAAACACTGAAGTTCTTTGTATGGAATGACCTATCATTTGCACATAGCCTACTCTTACACATCTGTATCATTTAAATCATCTCTAAATTACATTCACAATGGAAATGTTATGTAAACAGTTGCAATACTGTATTGTTTAAGGAATAATGACAAGAAGATTGCACATGTTGAATACAGATATCATTTATTTCAAATATTTTTGATCTGCTGATTGAATTCAGAGATACAGAAGGCCATGGAGGTTGACTGTACAGCTCCATTTTGAATCGGTACAATCCTTTGTAGATCTGTGTACTTAGTTTCATTTTTCAGATTGAGATGCTAGAAAATACAAAAAGTCATGCATGCGGCCCAAGGTCCTCAAGCTGACAAGTGGCAGAGAACATATTTGCACTAGGAACTTCTCATGCTGGGTAAGCGCTTTTCCATATGAAGATCTGTGCTGGTCCACAGAGTGGACAGAAGGTTACTTAGAAAAAATAGTTCTCACTTGGAGGGAAATCTACCTCCCTGTCACGTTATTTTCTTCCTAAAAGAGTGTCTAAGAATTTCATCCTCATTTCTCCTACTTGTTGTGTGATACATGCAATGGTTTCAATATCTCTTCTGCAAAATTCCAATGTCCCCATTGAGGTAATATGTTGAAGGGGAAGCTTTTAAAGATGATTATGCCGTGAGGGTTCTGCTGTTATACTTGAAATTAAAACCCTCGCTGAAGAGGCTTTGATATAGTGCAGAGTTGCTACAGCATTCTCCACCTTCTGGAGACACAGTTTTCTGCACCGGAAAACAGAGCAGCAAGGTGCCATCTTGAAGAAGAGAGTAGTTAGTTCTCACCTGATAAGCAAAACAGCCCATCTTTGACTCCCCACCCTTCAGAACTGTGAGAAATGAATTTCTCATATATTCTGTGATAACACTACAGAATGAACTAGGATGGAATTGCACCACCAGACATGTTAACTTTAATTCCAATCCTTCTTGATGAAATGATCAGTAAATTCTGTCAACTCACTTTCCTAAGCATCTCTCAGATGCAATACTTCGTCCCTGTCTTTATTGCTCCTGGTTTTTCAGGAGCAATGTCACTCATCTGTCTTGCTATGCAAATACCTTAACTAGCATTTCCAGTAAAAAAAAAAAAAAAAGACAATTCCGCTTTGCCCATTTCCAATTTAATCTCCTTGTAAAATTATCAATAAAATGTAAATCAAATCATACTACTACCCTGCATTAATTATTTCAATGTCACTTGAATTATCCATGAATAAAATTGAAGTACTTTTTAAGTGGCATATGTAAGTCTTTAGATAACTCAGCCATCTACCTGCTTTTGAGCTTTATATCCCAGCACGGCCCAAATGAACCTTACTTTCAAATCTCACCAAATTTCTGATCACTTTATTATCTATCTATCCATCTATCTTTCTATCTATCTATCTATCTAACCTATCTATCTAATTTTAACTTTAGTTCAGTACAATGATTTCCCTTGTTTTAGGAATCGTCTTGCTATCTATTTCTGGCAATAAAATATTTCACAAAGTTTATTTGTAATTTCAAATGGCTTCAAGTATCACCTCACCATCCACTACAGCCTTCACACAATGCTCTCTCTTCCTCTTTTTCCCCTCTCTCTCCTTTATCTTTCTATATGCATGTGTATGTGTGTCTGTATCTCTACTTTCAAAGGATTTTAAGCAGTGATACTATAGATGATGAAAAAAATCTTTCACCAGTTTCTTAATGAACTGGGCATGTTTACTAATTTAAGAATTGCATACAAGGCATCACACTAGTTTCCTTCTTCAGCTTAGTCTCTCACTAACTGTTCCACTTCAGTAGGATTTTACCAAATTATCTTGATTTCTCCAAACATACTGTCCATATCAGCACTTCCTTGGATCTTTAAATACTGTTTTAATTAATAAGAAACATCTTTTTTCATTGACTGGAAAAATTCCAGCACACTCACCATCTTTCTAATAAGAAACTTTTAGAATTTGATAGGTAAAGTTGAGTATCAGTTTTACTTTTCATAACAAATAATAAAGACTCAATAGTTGATATCAATTTTATTTCTCACATTCTTGTACATATGCAGCTGAAGTTCAAGCTGATAAACTCTTTTTCATGGACCTTGTCATTCTGGGGATTAAGCTAGATGGCACTTGAACTTACAATTTTGTGGCAGAGAAAGAATCAAACAGCTGGTAGCATGTGAAAAAGCTTTTAGAGTTGCGTCTCGGATTCACTGCTGCTCAGAAACTGTCCCATGACCCAGGAGAGAGCAAGCCACATGGAGCAACTCCCAAAGAGCAGTGCATATTCCATAGCAAAAGGCAAGGATGAATAATCCTTTCATAAAAAATTTGAGTGAATATTTGGAAACAATTATTCAGTCTACCTCTTTTCAACCTCCTTCATTAAGTTCACTTGCATCACATATCTAGAGTTTTTCTCTTTGAATAAAAAATGTGACTTTTTCAACTTTCTATCCCAGAATCTCCCACAGCTCCTGAACTATCATAATGTTGATTAAGTATTTGCTAAATAAAATATCCAATACAAGAATGGACAAGTGAGAAAAATGAAATAACAAATGGATCTAATGTAACAGTGTTCCAATGTAATTAATTGAGACATTTATATTGTCCAGAATTTAACCAATAATTTCCATTTTTTTGCTCGAAGAACTTAATAGCTCTCCATTTTTATTTTTATACCACTTTCAGCCTAAACCATTGACTGCTAAAAACATTGTAGCTTAAGCAACCTTGCCATTTTTCTTTTCCTCCTTTTCCTTCAGCTTGATCCAAAATAGCATAAAATAAACATCTTTTCCTTTTGATCTCAGGTATAGAATAATTCTTTATTTTGTCTTTGGAGTTAGAAGTATGTTAAATGTCCCATGGAGCCATGTACTTTATCCAAGGTTAATCACCTCTAAGTACCACAAGTCAGGATTTTGAGTTGGTAGGTAATAAACATCCCAGGAACTACGAAATCACTATTTCTCAGTTTCGCCCCACACTACCACCTATAAATTTATCTTTTCTTACAAATTTACCAATAGAAGAATTATCTCAGAATTTAACAACGTAAGTCTAGAAATAATTTTCAAGGAGAAAAATATGTGAAACCTGCATGAAGAAAATTATAAAAATTTATTAGTATGCATCAAAAAGACCTTTAAATATCAAGTCTTCCCCAATTTGAAGGTTTAATGCAGTTCCAATACAAATTCTTAACATTTTTTGTGTTAAATAAAAAGATTATTACAATGATCATCTAGCTGTACTTTTTAAAGAAGTGAAATTAAGAGACCTTTGCATTCATAAACACATTTTTTTATTTTAAAGAGAAAAAAAGGTAAACATACTAATGAAATGGAGTTTCAAAAATTTTTTAAATAATAATTTCTTTAGATCAATAATTTCTTGAGATCAATAATTTCTTGAGATCAAGTGTTTTACTCAAATTTCTATCACTGAGCTTACTCTCCTACAAAGTGCCTGACAAGGTCTATGTCATCAGAACACCTAGCCACGTGATAACTACAAAGTGAATATAGTAGGAAGGCAACTGTAGGCTGCTGCATGTGAACCTGTCATCCCCCATAACTGCAAGTCCCTGCCAGTCTCCATGTATGTGACCCTCCACTAGCTGTCTTATAAGAAGTTGCAAAACGACTCAAATTTTTGTTTTATTAAACTTAGCTTTGAAACGCACACTGTGAATACAAGTTTGCTATTTTCTTTAGCTTGATTTTAAATTGATCTATATTGTAATTAAAATTCAAAAAGGAACAAAGATCTACCCACAAAGGCGTAGCAGTCACCACAAAACAAAACCAACACACACATTTCTATCTCGTTTCTCTTTTAATGTTTTAAAAAAGCTAAATGCATCAGTTTACTGTATTTTCTATGAGCATCATGGAGTCAAGTAGAAAAGGGGGCTGTAACTACAGCTTAGTTATTAAGAAAGAACGCTGAAACACTGTTTCCATGTAAGTATATTGAGGTTGGATGGCTAATTTTGTCATTAGTGGGAAATACGGGCTGGGTCTTCTTCTGCTCGCTCATGTGGACGTACAGCTGTCTAGAAAGTGATGATGATACTATCACAGGCACAGATGCTGTTGCTCCGTGTTGAATATGCCTGTCTGTGTCATTAATCCCAGGCTTGGCTTGCCTAGCCCACTACGTTCATTCTACTGTTACACTTCACATCTTACTAAATCTCTCTCCACATCTGCAGTGATTTTTCCTACTTCTTGTCCTCGGTTTTGAATGTGATTTTTTTTTCCAATAAATTAAATTAAATACCTGTGGAGAACAGAAAATTTATAATAAAAACTAATTTATTTGTCACAGTTGGGAAGCAGGTTCTGAAAGAGGTTTTAGGACATATAAAATATAACTTCTTTCGGTGTCAGAAAACAAACATTTTGAAGAAAACATTTCCACATTATGTATAACAGTTCCATGTTTTCTTAACAGGAGCATATACATATGGATTTGTCCTGATGAGTCTACATCACTATAACTAGTTTCCATTTAAATAACAAATGCTGGCATACTTGTTTCTAAGGCTCTCAATTATAAATTTTGTTGATATTGTTTTGCCTTTTAAAAATACATACCCATACATATTTTAATCTGCTTATTAGCATAACAATAACTGATGATATATAGAATTTTAGAGTGTAAAATGTCCATACATTCTGAGTCAACAGTCTGGTATTAAAATAGTTCTCGAAATAAAATGCCAGCACTAGAGTGTTCTGTGTTTGTGATTGTTTCCTGGTACGTCCATGCTTGCTTCTCATTCTTCACAGTTGTCTTTCTTTTTAGTAATTAAACTTGCCAAAAATTCTAGGACAGATTCCTTGCTGAAGCTGATAGATACATAAATTAGATACACTTTTTTTCAGAAAATGTAGGGCACCGGTTATTGTAAGATACACCATTTTTATTACCCTCTAAGAAAGAAAAATACTTCCAATTAAGCTTCTCTTATCACTTGGAATGTTTTATCATACATGCAATAAATGATCACTTATAGGCTTATTTCCACATGCATGTTTACTATGCACAGCCAAATACAAAAGCATACAGATGGAACAAGTTGATTATAATACTCCTTAAAACTTCTCACATAACTCCACTGTTGTCTGAATCTATTTCCCATCATTCTGGCGTTTGCTATGGGATATAATTTTGCTCATCCTGAGTATACAGTTCCCTTATTCCTTCAGAAATTTTTATCAGTTGTTCTATCAGTATTTCTCTTTAACCCACTGAAGCTCAGCTATAAGATCCAGAAAAGTATAGCATTGTGTTTATTTTTCTGCCTTAGTCGGGAGATGGAAATAGCTCTGTGTGACTAGATGTTTACTATGATTTTGCTCTACAACTTAGAGACTTTCTGTTATGTCACCGTGGGTCTCTAAAACACAGTTTTGTCTCTCTGATATCTTCATTAGGTGAAAAAGATTCAGAATATGATGTTTGCAAACATAGTAGCAGAAGTTCACCTGAATTATTAATAAGAATCAAGAATAAATCCAGGATATATACATACACACACACACACACACACACACACACACACATATCAAGTGCTCTAGTCCAAGACCCGTCCAGGCTGGTGTGGGAGAAAGATACCAGCGGCACATAGAACGCCCTTGGAGTTGATAGGCACTTGTGGCTTTAAGCCAGCACAAGGCAGATGTACTTTAGCTCCAGTAAGTGTGGTGTTAGCAAAAAGCTTCAGTAGTAATCCTCCCTGTCGACAAGTCTGTCTTTCCAGAAAAGAATGAAGGCATAAGTATGAACTAAAGATGGAGGATAATTTGATAGTGTCTGTGGAAACAAGCAAAACTCTTAGTTTAAAAGATAGCATTGTAAATGTTATAATAGAGTTATTAGGGAGCACAGACTGAAAAGCAGCCGGATCGTAGCAGTCAAAATTGTTATAGCTCCAGGCTTGAATATGAGAGTGTACAGCTGAAAAAACTTTTCATCAAATGTTATGCTCCATACAGTGGCAGAGCTGGAGGAAAGCACGTGTACTCTGCTACTGACTTAAGAGAGAAGGGTGTCTCGTTATTCAGGAAGACATACCCAATATATGCTCCCAAGAAACAAAATGATATCAAGTGACTCTCCTTTGACAAGTGTGTCTCTGGTTGAAACATAGGGAACTGTGAGGGGTATCTCTTGGAAAAGAAGGGAATTTTAAAAATTTTTGACAGTACTTTCTGGATGATAAAAATTCCCCCAGTCCTGAAAACATGATTGTGTAAGTATGAGTGAGAAAGAATATTGCACAATTACTAAGTGTGTGTGTGTGTGTGTGTGCAAACATTGATGAGATGTCATGCTAATGTTAAGAGGTCAGCAAAATCCCACATATGTATGAATATTCTGATGAAAAGCAGCAGAAACAAAGTATCACTCAAAATGTTACTTACCCTAGAGATGCCTAAACAGCCTCAGTCCAACCTCAGAAGGCAGATTTAACAAAGAGCTCAAGAAGATGGCACAAACCAGTTACAAAAATAACTTAGGGGCCAGTCGTGGTGGCACTCGCCTGTAATCCCAGCACTCAGGAGGCTGAGGCAGGAGGATCGTTGTGAGTTCGAAACCAGCTTGGGCTACAAAGTGAGCTCAGGGCCAGCCTGAACTGCATAGCGAAACCCTGTCTCAAAAAGACAAAAAATTAAAAAACTAAACTAAACTAAACTAAAATAAAATAAAGATAACAGTATTTCTTGGGACACTAAGAACAGAATATTTTATTGCTGAAAGTATTAGATGTATAGACCACTGACTGACAAGTCCATTGTAGACATAATCTGAATACAAAAGCAAACTTAAGAGAAACATCATAGATGAACACGGCTGACACTGCCAAAGACTGACCTCACCGCTCTAGTGACTTTTGCCGCAGTGAGCTTCCTGGAGACAGGAAGCAGCTCAGCTTCCATGTGGAATAAGCCAGGGGTGAGGCAGCGTCATAGCATCGGAAGCAGCACTGCTATTGACATTCAGGAAATGCTCGGAAAGACAATCAAGTTCTCATCCTTCTAGAGAGGCACTTCCAAGACCTTCTCTGACCCCTAGCAGAAATACCACAGCCCAAGACACACTGAATTTTACATGGGATAAATGGACATTGTACAAGGTAAAAATATACAATGATACCAAAGAGAAGGGAAGTAAGGAGTAAGAAAAAGATAGAGAGCTGCCTTAAGCCCAAGACGGTAGAGTTGTCTGTGAGCGTGATGTAGAGTTCCCACCTTCCTCTTTATGCTCTACACTCAAAAACACTTCGTGAATGTGCGTAACTCTGTAATGTGCACAGCTCTGCAGTGTGAAGTTCTCGGTAGTGTGCATTTGGAGTTCAAGCCCAGAGTTCACTTTTTCAGGGTCCAGTTGTTTCACGCAGCAAGACCCTTTGAACAATGGGGAATACTTATTAGAATTCCATGTTTCACTCCTTTTGTGGTATATTTTTCCACCTTCTACAGCCAAGTCTACATTTACTGGTGATTAGAAACACTCCAGACTGTGATCAGGTGAGAGAATGCTCAGTCAGACCAGTGAGCACCTGGACTGCTCTTTCGTTGTCTATCCTTATTTCCACTTCCCTAAAGAAGTCACAGTGACAAAAAGATGTTCTCAGGAGAGATTAGAACTCTCATTCCAGAGGAAAAAGCAAACTTTGCTCATGAGATCAATGGCTCCGTGGCATAATTTCAAACACAATGATTCAGTGATTCTGGGTGCAGGAGAACAAAGTGTGGCAATCCTGGACCATCGGCCTTTTCCCACCCCAGGGTGGGTAACCAAGCCTTTGTGTCCTGGCTGATGTGGAGCTTCTAAGACGTGCTGCTTGCATCCGAGAGTCCTGACTCTGTCCTGTAGGACTGCAACGTTATGCTCTTCTTAAGCAAAAGAATACATAGCAAACATCAATTGAGGATCACATAGAAAAAGAAGGTCTTTGAGATTTCCAATAGAGAAATATAACCAAATGCTGTTCTGCCCTTATGAATGAATAATAGGTAAGGAACGCAGAGCTCGGTTCATCTACATAGGAAGTCATAAATACTGAATGTTGATGTTCCCCATTTCTCAGAGTTAGGAAAAATTGAGAGATTCACTCCATTGATCTCCCCTTACTTTCTGTAAGGAATCATTTGAAATCCCATGACAGAAAACAAAATTAACAGTTTTAAATAAGGAAAGGGAAAGTCTTGAATCACAAGTCTAGGGTTAGGATTTGCATGTAGGTACCTAGTTTTTATTAGAGGCTAAACTGATCTTGGGATTCTGTCTCCTATTTAACGGCTCTATTCTTTCATGATTTTTTTATTCTTATGCTTTTTTCATTCTTCTGGGAACGCACTGCCAGCAAGTTCAAAGCAGGATCTTCCCTGGTGCAAGTGCAGCTGAAAAGGGCTAACACTTTCAAGAGAGTCTCACAAAAATCCCATCATTCCTTGCTGGCTTTCCATTTACACATGATCAGAATTTTAAAAATAGTTTTCCCAAGATATTTTTTATAACATAAAACTTTAGTGAAAAATAGTAGAAATACATTTTCTTCAAAATCTCACTAAATTGCACTTTTCATTGGTAACCAAAATGTTCTTCATTAAGCTGAACACAAACTAGAAATAAAAAAATCTAATAATCCAGATTGTTTGTTATCTCTCTCCTCGAATAGGAAACAGATCATAACCCATCGCAGTGGTACCTCAGCTCATGAATTTGATTATTTTGCATTATTCTTGTCACAAACCAAGTTGGATAATAAGCAAATGAAATTCAGTGGTTAAGTCTAGTGTTGACTTTATGGGGAAAATTGATTCAGTTCTTCTCCAACTTGGTTTGTGACCAAAACTGGAAAATTAAGTTTGTGAACCAAAGGACCACTGTATTTAGGGTGGGCCAAATGTTCAAACTATTAGACTATAAAACTCGATTTCCAACTATTGCTACCACCAATTGGGAATAAATTTCCACTGATTAAAAAAAATAATGGAAACAAAATCCAAATTTAAAGGAGAGAGAAAATCTAGGGAACAGAGATTGCACATAATTAAAGTTCCTGTACCATGCTCTTTGCTGCATACCAAGAGAAGCCACTCCTGGGATTATGGTGCCTGACGTTAGTGAGGCAGTACAGCTAACGTGGCCCTGTCATGGGAAATCCATGTGAATGCATTACATATCTCAGTGAGAAAACCTCCAAAGTGATAACAGATTGTTTTTGAAAAAGGTCATAAGAATCACTTTCATACAGTTGCAAAATGAACATTTTCATAGGCTTATTTAACCCCTCAATTAAAGACAAAATCAGTCAGTGTGTTAACTGGTTCAAAACAGAATCCAAAGTACCACACACAGAGAGAGACAAGAAGTACTGAATTAATTTACAGATACAAACAAAATGCTTCTGCCCAAAGGTTAATAATTAGTTGCATTCTACTGATTTTTCTGTCTATGGTTAAGAATCATTTACATTATTGTCAGCTTTACAAAACTCACTGAAAATTAAAATACCCCAAATGTGTAAAAAATAGAAATCATGCAGAAATTATTTAATACTCAGGAAAGTATTCTTTTTTGACATTTCAAAGTCTTTTATAATACCTCACAACACTTCAGTATGCCTGTCTCAACCTGCATTCTTTAGTAAAGACTGTATGACCATTGTCTTGCTCTACTCTATTACGTTAAAGACAATAAAGAGATTTCTATCCATCTTGAAGTCTTTCCTCTCTAGAACTGAGCTACAAGGTCATGCAGGGTGGAATAGCATGGCTTTAGTCCATCATATTGTACTCAACGCTGTTTTCTTGACTACTATATTAGTACTGAAATTGCACATCTCTTTTTATATCTCTTTTAATGTCTTGTTGAGGATCCTCCTAACATCTCCATGTTTTAAAAAATTCTTTATGAAATTTCTTTTAGCTACATTCTACATTTCTGCTACATTGTACAGTGACCATATCCAACTTCTTCATTCTTCCATCCGTTGAACATTCTTCAGGGTAAAGCAGACGCTGCATGTTTAGCTGACTTACCTAATGTACTGGCTTAAAGTTAACCGCTCAGAATTGTATTTCAGGTCTCATCTGTGAAACACATGCTACCATTTTACAGACGCAGGTGGTTTTTAATTATTATTATTGCATGGAATCTCCAGAAAAACAAGACTGTAAAATGTTGTGCTGGCCACAAAAAATAAAGCAATGTCATCATTTTAATCCCTTCTCCTCAATATTGCATATGATAATAACCCTGCTCCAGCATGGAAGAATATTTAATAACATCAACAATGAAGAATTGAATTCTCTAAAAGATTAAATTCATTTTTAATGGCATCATGAAAATTGCCTTAATTATCCATGTCAACTCAGAACTTCTTGTTTTTAGGTTGTATTCCTTTTAAGGATAAGCTTGATCCACATTTTATAGAAAATACTCTCAATCTTCCCTATTCGGTATGATGTTAGATGTGGAATTGTTATTCTGTATATAACCTTTATTAGTAGGTTGCGGTACAATCCATCTATAAATATATTTTCAGAATTTTATTACAAAAATTGTAAAATTCTCTTCAACTTTTTTCTGATAGTATTGAGACATACATACGGTTTTCATCCTACATTCTGTGATATGATACATGGTATTTACTAACTTGAGTATGTTGAACCATCCTGAATATGTAGGATAAATACAACTTGGTCATGATGAATGATCATTCTAGTGCTCTTGGATGCAACTTGCTAGTATTTTAATGGGAAGTTTTGCATCTCTGCTCATCAAAGACATTAATCAGTACAGAATTTCAGACAAGGTGATAGAAAATCAACAATGGTTGTTGTATTACATATCACTATCTTCAAATTGGTTACTCAGATAAACAAATACAGGCATGTAAGACTGATAAAACAATGAAACATTAACTGTTCCTTTCAATAAAGCAACACAAATCAGTCATACAACTATCTTAGCTATTCTGTGTATACATATACACATATTGTTCCCTTCTTCCTTTCTTTTCTCCTTTCCCTCATCTA